AGGTGCCTGGCTGGTGTGGCTCAGTGGATTGAGCGTCATCCAAAGGACTAAGAGGTCCCAGTTTGATTCCTGGTCAGGGCACATGCCTCGGTTGCAGGCCCAATCCCCAGTAGGGGGCGTGCAGGAGGCAGCCAACTGATGTCTCTCTCACATTGATGTTTCTCTCTCTACCTTCCTCTCTCTAGAAAAATAAAAAAATAACCTGCAGGGGAGGGTTAGGGAAGAAAATGGTATTGTGAAGAAGTGTCCAATAGCCTTTAATTGTATATGTAATATTTTATTTTTAAAAATCTTAATTATTCCAGTGCTCTTCTCTGTTAGAATTATTTAATAAAAAAAAAAATGCACAAATTTGATTAAACAAAAATAGACTGCGATAGGACTGGAAAATGCCTATTTAATATAAAATGATGTATCTTCTTAAGACCCTTTTGCCTGAAAGGCTGTGTGTCATGTCATTCAGCTTCCATGGAATTTTAATATCTCATCCTAGAAGAGACAAGCTTTATATAATTGTGTTTAAAAATGCACTATTAGCTCTGGCCTGTTTGGCTCAGCATGAGAGTGCCGGCCCGTGGACTGGACAGTCCTGGGTTCGGTTTCCGCTAAGGGCAAGGAGTACCTTGGTTGCAATTTGTCCTTGGCCCCAGTTGGGGTCGTGTGGGTGGTGACCACTCGATGTGTCTCTCTCACATCAATGTTTCTCTCTCTTTCTTCCTCTCTCTCTCCCTCCTGCTCTATCTGAAGATAAATGCAAAAATGTCTTAGGGTAATGTCCTCGGGTGAAGATTAAAAAAAAAAATGCACCATTAGCCCTGGTTGGTTTGGTTCAGTGGCTAGAGTGTCGGCCCGCAGACCAAAGAGTCACGGGTTCAATTCCAGTCAAGGGCACATACCTCGATTGTGGTTTGATTCTCTGCCCTGGTCAGGCTCATGCGGGATGCAACCAATCAACGTGTCTCTCATACCTCAGTGTCTGTCTGTCTCTGTCTCTCTCTCTCTCTCTCTCTCTCTCTCTCTCTCTCCTCCTCCTCCTCCTCCTCCTCCTCCTCCTCCTCCTCCCTCCCACTCTATCTGAAAATAAATAGAAAAATGTCCTCGGGTGAGGATTTTTTTAAAAATGCACTATTATAGAAGGATTCAGTGGGTGGCCAAATAGAAATAACCTACTTCCATCTTTTGAGATCAGAATTTAGATCATCTAATGATTGGACAGTCAGTACATTTAAAAATAGTTGACTGCTTGTTTACTTGAATGTGTTTATAAACTGGTCCTACCCTGTATCCCAACTATATTCCTTCCACTGAAATGTGAACTGAATTGTTTACTTGTCAAAAATAATATTTTGTTATTTAGAAAAAGTAACAGCTAAATCTTAGAGTTTTTTTACAGTTATTTATTAATAGTTTTCTTCCCAAAGCACCTTCCGTAAGGTACAGAAAATGTGGAACACATTGCTAAAAATGTCTTTGTCAGATTATTAGTGTCACATTTTCATTAGCTTGCTGATAAGTTCAAGGACTGGAATGAGTTACCATTCATGTGCTTTCTCCTGTTGACAGCAGGGTGGTGTGGGAAAGAACTGGATGGAAGTTAGGAGGCCTGGGTCTTTGTTCTGGCTCAATTGGCAGCAGTGGCTTTGGGCAAATTCATTTGGATCCATTTCCTCACTTATAAAATGAGTTACATTGAAGTGTAAAGCCTAGGTCTAAGATACTAGGTTCAGGTGATTTTGTCTCTGTCATCCTGGCTCTCCCGAGCTCTGCCCATTATGAATGTAGGAATCAACTATGAGCTGATCTTCTTCCTTTCCCTTCTCTGTCAACCTCCTGAATGGCAAAGGACATGTTGCCATTTCCCACCAAACCATGTAGGGGTGTGGGTGGTCTGTACCATTCTGCTCACCTCTCAGAGCTGCTGGAACTTGGGATGACTGACGCAAAAACTGGTCTTAAGTGTATTATTCTGTCATTCACATCCTAGCCATTGGCCATAACAGCCATCTCGATGAAAACAAGAAGCTCTACCCTAGCTTATTCCAAAAGTCAAAGGCCAGCTTGATGATTCACCTTTAAAAAGTATACAGAACAAGAAACATCCTACTTGAGAATAATTTCCATGTGATCTCACCGAAAAGAATGCAGAATTACACATGAATTTGGTGAAATATTAACCATAAATTACCCACTTCCTTAAGAACCCATCTTTTCAAGCAGACTGACTGTCACAGTCACAGTGCACCAAGTCTAAGTCTGCTGATGGGGAAGCCGTTGAGACCATGTGGATTTAGGAATCAGCTGTGAGCTGATTGAATAATAATACTTTTTCTAAAAATGTTAACAGTACATTGAAAAAGTGTTTATATCAACTGATGTTTCATCAACTACTTTTAAATAGTGTCAAAATATTCTAATATTGCATTGCTCATATTTGTATTCATTTGTGAAGGTAACTCTTTAAAATAAAAAGGTCTTATTTTACACTTGCACAGAATGGCCTTTTGTTTTGAGTAACTTCTGTGTAACTATAACAAGAGCCCCAATTTGAAATCCATGTACAGAACTCTCCAGGCTTATAGCATGCATCACGGACAGGAAGGTTGGCAAAGCAGAAGGCTAGCCCTCCAATATTGGGTCTACCACAAATTTCTTGTGGCAAAATAGAGCTTGAATAAAATGAATGAATATGTGAGTGAAATAAGCACTTTTTTGTTTTTTATTGTCAAAAACACTTGGGCTTACAATACAGTGCAAAATATTCTTGGTTTTCTGAGCTAAAAATATTTGAATTATGGTCATGATATTTGCCTTTCTCCAAAAATCACATTTCTGAGATGTTGTATAAATTAAGGGACCCAAACAATAAGACTGCATTCTAAAAAGAAAAGTCACAAGTAGTTTCATTTTGGGGAGGGTCCAAAATAGCATTTAAAAAAAAATGGGTACAGCCCTGGTCAGTTTGGCTCAGCAGTTGAGCGTCGACCTGCGGACCAGAGAGTCCCAGGTTCGGTTCCCGCTAGGGGCACCGTACCACACACACAAAAAAATTCTCTCTCTCTCTCTCTCTCTCTCTCTCTCTCTCTCTCTCTCTCTCTCTCTCTCTCAGCTCTGGCTGGTTTGGCTCAGCAGTTAGAGTGTTGGCCTGTGGACCAAAGAATCTTGGTTTCTATTCCAGTCAAGGGCACATACCTCGGTTGCAGTTCCATCCCCAGCCCTGGTCAGGTAGTATGGGAGGCAACCAGTCGATTCTCTCTCTCTCTCTCTCTCTCTCTCTCTCTCTCTCTCTCTCTCCCCTCCTTCTCCTCTTTCTTCCTTCCCTCCCACTCTATCTGAAGATAAATGAGGAAAAAATATCCTGCCCAGCAGGTGTGGCTCAGTGGTTAAGCATCAACCCATGCACCAAGAGGTTGCCAGTTTGATTCCCAGTCAGGGCACATGGCCAGGTTGTGGGCCCAGTCCCCAGTGGGGGACGTGCAGGAGGCAGCCAGTCAATGTTTTCTCTCAACAATGTTTCTATCTCTCTATCCCTTTCCCTTCCTCTTTCTCTCTCTCTAAAAAAAAAAAAAAAAAAAAAAAAAAAAAAATCAATAAAGCAAAAAAATTAAAAAAGGAAAAAAAAACCCTCAGAGTAATGGAAAATAAATGGGTACAGCACAGAACCAAAAAACTCTCTATATTGAACATATATTCAAAAGATTTGGTTTCCCATACATTGGTTTAGAAGTGTATTCCTTATTAAATGGTTTATCTCAAACCTTGATCGGGGCCCTCTAGTGTCCCAGTTGCCCCTAAGGAGTCATGCAGTGTTGCTTCAAATCAGCAACTACCTTTAGAGGCAGCAGAGTTCAGAAGCCATAAAAAATAAGGAAAAATTTTAAACTTGAAACAAATTTAACATTTTTAGGTCTTTTGTACAGTGTATGGATTGAATGGAGTTGATCCAATGATGCCTGTCTGCAGATTCCAATACATTTTATATTTATTTCAGTTTGGTACAGAGTAGCTTAGTTTGCCTAATGTATTTAATCTTTTTAAAAAGAAAGACTGTTATGAGTTATTTATGTAGTTACCACAAATGCCAGACAATTTCTAGCTAAAACTTCACAGCAACTCCCTTGTAAACAAATATAATCAGAGGAGCCACACATTTGGCTCCAGTATGTGATTTCCTAACATACTCATACATCAGGCATTTTGTGTAACATTGTAAATGAGCCTGATGGCGAAACACTCAGCATTTTGAAGAGTGAGAAGCCCAGAGTATGAGAGAGCCCTGAGAGCTGCAGAGCATCGATACCTTTATGGGTATTCTGGCCACATAATCATATGTGTAACATCTAATGAGGAGGTATGTCCATTGCAAAATACTGTACCAATCAATATTACAGTTTTGAGTGATTGTGTCCTATTATAGTTGTTGCTGCCTTTTATTGTGTAGCTAAGTTATTAGTCCAGGATCATGGTTTCAACCAGGAGTACATATAAGAATCTTTGTGGAACTTTATAAAAATACAGAATGCCATCTCCAGCTCAGATCTACTGAGGTGGAATCTCTGGGAGGAGGGGCCTGGTCGTTGTAAACAATAAAGCTCCACATACACAAGGAAACAGTAACATTAGTGACCTCCAGGGAGGGAAGGTGAGGGGAAGACTTTTCCCCTTTGCCCTTTTTGAATTTTCAGCCAGATGAGTAATTAAATATTAAGTAGATTAAATATACTGCATATACTATGTTAAATATATTATGTATATTGAGTATATTATATTCAGTATAATATATTTAATTACAATTTAAAATATATAATTATATATAATTTAAAATATATTTTTATATAGTGTATAGAAAATGGATACGAATGGGAATTACTTATTTTCCTTAATGAGGAAGTAGGATCCAGACTTTCTACATTGTACTAACATAAGTACCACATGAACAAGTGGGATCCAGGTTGTCCCTGAGGTACGTTCCTTGTCTCTGTATTTGTTTCTCTATGTTTCAGGTGTTTGTGGCCAGTCCTCATAAAACACAGCCTATTGTGGAGATTCTGTTAAAAAACCAGCCCAAACTCATTGAGTTTCTGAGCAGCTTCCAGAAAGAAAGGACGGACGATGAGCAGTTCACTGATGAGAAGAACTACTTGATTAAACAGATTCGAGACTTGAAGAAGACGGCCCCTTGAGGTCTCACCCAGTTCCCTGCCACAGCCACCGTCTCGTGTTTAGTTTGTACAAGAAGTGTTGTTTCATAAAGTAATCACTCTTGGGAAGGCTTTTGGGGTGCCTATTTTTTCTCAATTTATTTTTCAGGGTAGATGGATATAAGCATTTAAATAAAAAAAAAAATAACCTAGAATAATAGATTCACTTTAATCAAGGCTGTGATTATGTGAAATTAGAGCCATTGTATTAGAAGTTGATCAAAGCAACTGTAACCCTTTGTGGATGAGAGGCAGCTGGGCCATGGGCTTGCAGGCCTGGGCTTTCAGTCCCCATGAGCCCTAAGGAAGAGCCCCAGTGATGGGTCACGGAGTCCTCACAGGACTAAACTCTCAGAGCAGAGCTGGGCATGGGCACGGAAGGCATGGGACTATTTTACTTATCTGCACTGAGGCAGATTTGTTAAGGCTCTGAAAGATCTGAGAAAATAATGCTCATGTTTTCAGTCATTACATATTCTTGTTCCCTGCCCATATCTTTTAACTCTAATTCATAGTTCCTGACTTCCTAGGAAACTGATGTCCACCTCCCTGCTCAGCCCTCCTTTCTGCTCACTATCCCACAGTTCATCCCAAGGGATGTCCTCAGCATGCCTGACTCCTGGACCCCTCACTCCACCCTGTGGTAGGGAGAGCACAGAACCAAGGACTTACAGGGGCACAGGGGCATCGAGGTCCCATGTGGTGTGACCTGCTCACTGGAGAACTTGGAACGGATAGTTAAGAACCGCAGTTCTAGCTATAGTCATTGATGTGTCATACTGACTTCTATAGCATTCATAAATGTTTTGGAATGTTTCATTCATAGTTCTTATTATGGGAAAATTGTTTTGTGGTGAAAGTGTATTTCAGAGTAGGAATCATTGCATCAGGATGCGTAGCACGTTTAAAACTATGGGCCAGAGGGTAGCACAGGCCTTTAAACCACTTCTATAAATAAAGGAGCAGTGCCATTGGGAGGGCAGAAAATGCATGAAAAATTGTCAAATGACTAAAGACATTGTTTAGTTTGTTTTCTAATAAGCTGTCACTCCTAATTTCCCATTAAAGTATTCAGTGAAAAGGTAGAAAATATTGGGTGTTATGTTCTTCAACCAGATGTCTCTCCACCCAGAGAGGGAATGATCCCTCAGGATCAGTGCCCTCTGTAGATTTTGCATCTGAACAATTACCTGGCAGGGTTTCACCCATCTTGGCTAGGACACAAGTTCATGTTCTGTGTGCAGCATGGAATCTTGAGGCAGATGGTGTGGGACCTATGGGACCTTCTGGTAGCCGCTCTGGCCAACACGTGGGAGGGTCAGCCACAGCCCATCTGATGCCCTTCATTAGTCACCGAGGTCTGATTACTTTTATAATGTTCCCAGACAGTCAAAAGTCTCTTAGAGTTTGTCTTTTCTGGCTTTCTAATTTAATTAAAAGAGATAACTATATTTTAAAAAACAAAGGCACAATAACCATTGGAAATGTATTAAATACTGTCCCACATCATGGGACATGTGTTTTCAGTTGCAAAACAAAGCCTTGGTATAATCCTTTTTTGATATATAAAACATTTTATTTTCTCTGGGTTTGAATTAGCTCTTTCCTAGCAACCTTTATCCTAGTTTAGTGCCTGTCAGACAAAACTTGAGTGTTGAGAGACAATGGATGAAGGAGCTGGGTTTTGCTGTAATACAGATTTGTAAAGTACTCATGTGAAAGAGGGAGCAGGAGGGTCACGGTCAAAATATGCTTGCACAGAATTCACTGTAAATATTGTGAGAACTGAATTTTGAAAAGGTCATATTTAATAAACTATTTCAAAAGCACACATTTAAAATAAAGACTGACTAAATAAAAAGGCCCCGTGTACTCCATGGTCAGTTTGTATGTCCCGTGTCTGTGTTCAGAGCCGCAAACCAGAAAGCCCGAGGCGAGCCCCACAGCCCTGGTGGGGTTCAGGCTGAAGGCCCCCGACCATCTCCCTGTGCGCTGCATTGTCAGCACCCCAAGTGGTGCTAACTGCCATTCACCGAGCACCGGCGGCACTGAACATACACATCACATTATCGCTGCCTCATGACAGCCAGAGTCATTCTCATTTTATATTTGAGGAAACTGAGGCTCTGATCAGTTAATAATCCCAGACAGCAGGGCTAGACCTGGAAGACAAACCCATGGTGGCCTGAGGCCAAACTGCTCTTCCCTTTCATCATCAAGGCTGTGAGCTTGGGAAGGTCCAGTGTCAGGGACAACTTTGTTCCCTACCCCCCTGCTGCCTGGGAGGCGTCTGGGGGGTTAAGATCCTGGAGTGAAGCCAGAAGGAATTGAGATCATCATGTTCTTGGATGAGACTCCCGGCGAAAGCCAGGCGTTTGCCCAGACGTTAGGGTTACCCTTGGAGAAAAGGCCGAGTGGCACGCAGCCCTTGTCCAGCTGTTCTTGACGGGCAGCCTCATGGATTCACATCCTTGGAGGGCTGGGGGGGGGGGGTAGATGCTGGGGAGTGGCGGGTGAGCTTTGCAGAGCCTCTGTCACTAGCCAAACTGGTTTGTCCGTGTGACACACAGCTGCTCTGAGCCATTGTGCAGTCAGGAAATTTCACAAGACCTGAAAGCAATTGTAATAATGTGAATGAAAATGAAACTTAAAAATTACTAGAATTTTTTAATACAAAAAGAGTGATTTCAGAATAGATTTACAGATCTCTCCAGTCTATTATATTAAAGGAAATTAGATTTTTATATCTTTTGTTTTTTCTCTTTTATTCAAAAGACCATTGTACATGTACCTTTTCTTCTACATTTTTTCAGGAGTGTTTTTGGCTACTGGAGTGAGAGGCCTATAGCTGGATAAAGGTCTGAAACATATAAAAAGACCTTGAAAAGCTAGACTTGATCTTGAAAAGATCAGATGGATATGAACACAATAACGTTGTTTTGAAATATGGACAGGGCTGTTATGTAACTGCTGTGATGGAAGCGAAGGAACACAGGATGACCATCCCGGCTGGGCCTCTGCGGGCACCTCACTCCGTTGTGTGAGTGTCCACGTTGCAGAGAACACTGGCTCAGGCCAGGCAGCTGCAGCAGTGGCAGGGTGCAGGGCCAGCCTGACCCCCGAGTCCACATCTTCGCAAACTGGGCCTCCTGTCCAGGCTGCCTCTGCCAGGCTGCTCTCTACCCCAGGGACAGACACTTCATTCATTTCGGCTGCCAAGGGAAAGGAGGAATCCTGGAACCCAGTGCTGAAGGGTGACTCAGTGCAAAGAATTCGGCAGAGATTCATTCACGGGTGGGTAACTGCTCCACGTGGCTGTCATGTTGGAAGGTTGAAAATCCTGTGAATGGGATAGGGACCCCAGCCTCGAATTTTTCTGTCACTCTGAGCAATCCCTTGACGACACAGATAATAATTCAAACTGCAGTTCTACATCGACTTTTGTTTTCTTGGCTTACCTTTGGGGTTGGACATAACATTCCCTTGGATTTCCTGATAGGATCGATTGCTGCCCAGCCAGTCTTTCCTGCATGTCACATTCCTTGGGGGCCTACCGCCAGGGAGTTGCCGCGAGAAGTCCTGATGCAGGTCCCTCTGGCTCCTGTTGGGAGCTCCTGTGCCTCATCTCCGCCTCCCGGGGAGGAGGGTCACAAAACCATACAAAAATACACAACCCCTTTACCATTAATTCAATATCCATTGTAATTTAACCACTACACTGTGAGTCATTGTGTTATTTATTATTTTTGTTAATCCTCACCCGAGGATATTTTTTTCCATTGATTTTAGATAGAATTGGAGGGAAGAAGGAGGGAAGGAGGGAGAGAGAAACATCGATGTGAGAGAGACACATTGATTAGTTGCCTTCTGCATGCACCTCAACTTGGGCTTGGGATAGAACCTGGAACCAGGTACTGCAACCCTGGTTTGTGCCCTTGACTAGGAACCAAACCTGTGACCCTTTAGTATATGGGTTGACGCTCTAACCACTGATCCACACTGGCCAGGGCCATTATGTTATTTTTAAAAGCTGTGAACGTAGGGGCCCTTTGGGAGAATATGTTGTCATACTTATTAATTTATCCTTTAGAGAAAGTAGGAAAAATGAGTTCTCCTAGTTTTAGTTCTGAAATTTAAAGCCTAAAGCAACCAAAATATTTATTTATTCAAACGCTTGTTTATTCATTTAATCCAACACCCATGAACTCATTCTCCATGCTCATTAGGGTTGACTAGGAATTAGAACCAGAGTGACATGCCAGGTTACTGGGAGCGGGGTAAGCAGCCTCTGCAAGGCCATCCCCCTGGGCCCGAGCCAGCAGGGCAGGGAAGGGGAGACGTGAAGTGGGAGCCAGGAGAAAGGAGATGGGCTGCAACCCATGCTGCCTTGGCCTGCCGGCCTGCGCCTTCAAGGGCGTTACCAAGAGTTCCCCAGGCCAAGCGCAGGTTAGGAGAAGCTGATGGCGGAGGTCCAGGTGGGTTGTCCTACCTACCCTGTAGGCCACAACAACCTGGGCACCAGCCTTCCAGGGCTCAGTGTGGCTGCCCTTCACATCACCTTGCAACCGACAGCTTCTCTTGAGACTGTGCCAAATTCATTTGTTTTGGGGATGTGCTCCAGCTCAGCTTGAACTGACATCTCAAACCACCACTGTGCTGTACTGAGGAAACTGTCCACAGTCTCCTAATATCCTCCCCTCTCAAGAGCTCTGTGCTTTCCTCTCGAGTGACACGGGAGGTTGGTACGAAGTCAGTGGAACCACGGGGACTTGGGGGACAGCCACGTCTGGATCTAACCCTGGCCCCGCTACTCATACTTCACCTTGAGCATCACTGAGCTTCTGTTTCCTACTGGTAACATGAAGCAAAAGAGGGCTTGCCTCGCGGGGTGGCCTTGGAATCAGTGAGAGACACGGTGTGCGACTTGCCAGCCCAGGAGATGCTCCCATGTCATCCGCAGTCACCCAAGGGGCTCACCACCAGCGAAGAAAGAATTTCACTTCAGTGTGGAATCTGGGCAGGAGCCACAGGCGCAGGAGTCGGAGAATGGCAAGGCGTGTCCCCGGGCGCATGTGGACACGTGGAGGCGGCAGGGAGGGGAGCCTTGAACGTGGTCCTGGGGCAGCTGGCGTCTGAGCAGGGCGCAGGGGGGGAGCAGCCGCGGCCAGGGCCTCTCAGAACAGCGGCCGCTGACAGTCCTGCTCCTTAGGTCCTGTTCCCAGATGCTTCGCAAGTCCTCGGCTCAGTCCTCGGCGCCACGCTAGGCGGCACGCGCGCTCGCCCGGTGTGCAGATGGGAAGGCAGAGGCCCGGGCCTGTCCAGGGAGCAGGCGGAGCACAGGCCGCCCCAGGGCCCGGAGGCAGGAGCCGAGGACGCGGGAGAGATTTAGGACACCAGGTCGCCCCGCACCATTTCTGGGAGGTAAGGGCGGGGCCGCGGGCGCCTCGCAGGGACTGGGCGCCGGGGCGTCCCCGCCGAGAGTCCAGTGGTTGGGCAAGTGAGTCCCAGCTCGGGAAAGGCATGGGCCAGAGGTACTGAGTGGGGGGTGGTCACTGAGATTTGGGAGCAGCGAAGTCTGAGTGAGGAGGACGCCGTGCATTCCTCGCTGCGGCTGGGGCCTTGGAACTGCGCCCGTTCACCTGGGCCCCCTGGTAGTTTCGCCTCTGCCACTGTCTCCCACCGGGCTTTCTGCTCCCCCCAGCGGAGGCTCAGGAGGGAGCCGTGCTCCTCACCGCAGCCGCAGGAGTGCAGCCCTCTGTCCTTCCTCCGAGGGCCATCGGCTCTTTCTAGGCCTGGCAACACTGCCTCAGTCTCGTCTCCGCCAGTCAGCTATGTCGGCCAGAGCTGCGCATTAAGATACCCCAAAGGCCAGGCCGACACATCATTTAAAAAAGTGCCACTGGGACAAAGGGTGGCCCCTGCCCTCTGGAGGTCCTGACGGGGCCCCAGCTTCGGGAACAGAGGCAGGGCCCTAAGGGCAGCCTGTTGTTCCTGCTGTGGGGGAAGGAGCTCTGCCGACCTCCAGGCACCAGCCTGACGGTGACGCGCCGTGACCTGCCCATCGGTATGAATGAGGCTGCGCCGCCCAGGCTGCGGGAGGAGAGAGGAGGGCACGCCTGCAGCCACCAGGTGGCGTCTGGCGACACCAGGCTGCCCTTCACCTTGACCAAGGACTGTTGTCCAAGTGGAGCAGCTTTCCTCAGCTGTCACTGTCAGTGTCCGTCTGGATGCAGGCGCAGCACAAGGCCTGAGCAGCTAGGAAACTGGTACCTCGAGGGCAGGGGCAGGGCACGGAGGGGAGCGGGTCTCTCACTGTCACCAACAGCAAAGGCTCTGGGCCCAGCCTCATGGTGTGGGGCCGGGCTCGGGTCCGAGCTGCCTGTGGAAAGGCGATGCCAAGCCCGTGGGCTACCTCGCTGGTGCCCCTCCTCAGAGCTCCTCTCTGGGCCCCTCCAGCCCCAGGAGGTGAGTCGGCACCTCCTTTGCTGTAGGGTTCAGGAATGTGTCAGGTGCCTTCTCCACCAAATGAAACACTCTTCGCTGTCAGCCGTGCCTCCTCCATGCTCCAGGAAAAGGGAGACAGGGACCGGAGAGGCTGTGACCACTGCCTAGAGAGCCATGCCCTGCACTAAGCTGGGAGGTAGGGATGAGTTTGGATCTTGATCCCATCCAGAGGCTGCACATGAGGGTCCAAAAGGCTTCAGACCACTAGGAAACCCCAGCCCCAAGAGGAGCCACAGTGTCTGCCCTCAGTCTGCAAGCATCACTTGTCTCTTCCAAGGAGCTGACCCACGAGGCCAGCTGCTAGGTCACTGAGAAGTGGCTTAGATCTCCTCGGCTCGAGG